CAATTGGATGGTGTATTATGTCGCGCTGATTGATTGATAATCCCACCGCCTTTACGGAAGGCGGTACTAGAAGAATTGCATAAAGGACATATGGGAGTGGAGAAGATGAAATCATTGGCTCGACAGATGTGTTGGTGACTGGAGTTGGACACAGACATTTACGCGACAGCCAAGAACTGTGAGTCATGTTTACATAAATTACGAACAAAACCAAAACACTGGACACCATGGCCAGAAGGTTGTATACCTTGGCAAAGGGTTCATTTGGGTTTCTGTGGTCCATTTCTGAACCGGTACTACGCCCTTGTTCTGATCGATTCATACTCCAAATGGCCAGAGGTATTCTTTACGACTACGCCTACCACATTATTTGTGATACAAGTTCCACGGAAATGTTTTAGTCACGAAGGGATTCCACAAGTGCTTGTGACGGACAATGGATCTCAGTTCTGTGCGACCGAAATGAAGCTTTGGATGGAGAGCCTCGATTGCCGACATCTTTGAACTGTGCCTCGTCACCCCTGTTCGGACGGGGCGTCAGAGAATCTAGTCAAAACTGTCAAGAGTGCAATTACGTCTGCCAGTCTTAAAATGCCACATGAGTTGTAAACGTTGGTGGATAACTGATGACGTTGTTTTGTGTCAGGCAGTTTCATCTCCTTCGGAATTTCATTCTTTTACCGATAACCTATCCCACATCCAGCAGTTTTCTGACCAATCTGGTCTCAGTCTTCACATATCTAAGTGCGTAGAGTGTATTTTCAGTCTTTCCCGCTCCGCATTTCCAACGAACTCTGCTACTCTTAATGGTAAACCTGTATCCAGAATGACCTTAGTAAAGTATCTGGGTGTCGCCATCGACTGCAATCTTCATTGGTCTGCACATATTTACAACTGTGTGGGAAAACTGAAAACTATCTTTACAGTTACGAAAGCTCAAGCGATTCCGAACCCCACAGTCAGTCCTGTCATCCCTTGTTCATCAATGCGTTTTACCCATGATACTCTATTTTCCCCCTAGAGTGTTTTCCGGTCTTTTAAAACAAGACTTCAAAACAATTCACCATGGTTTGGTGATCATTAGTCGTGCATCATTAATTCCGATCGATTAAATAATCACAGATCTCATTGATGGTCACATCGACTCTTGATTTAAATTTGCTCATAAGGTTCTAGATAACCCTCTTCATCCACTATACCCTGATCTATCGTCTTGTCGTTCCCATCCGTCCACGCGCTCCTCATTTCAACATCTTTCCTATTGCATTAACATTTATAAAACTTTCCCTGTACCCTAACTGGCCCGACTACTTACCAAAAAGGAATGGGTCTCAAATGAACTACGTCAAAAGTTACACAAAACGAATGTCACCGACATTATTTACCTTTCGTTTGTATTATTATTATTATTTCTTTCTGTGCGACAAACAGTGTGCATTTTTAACTGGAATGTAAGCATACATGCCTATGCATATATATGCCAAATTCTGCGAACAAGGAACACCAGGCTTTTGCGGCAAGTCACTCGCCTTCTCTGTGGGTAGAACAGCAGACACGCGAATATCTCTGTGGATGTCAACAGTTTTAACGCCGCTTTCATTTTAACTGAGATGAAAGCATATATGGTTGCACAAATACAAATACCGCGATATACCGATAACCGTCACAGATAACCACGTGTGTTTTTATATATTTCGGGCAATGAAACATTAGGTGGTCGCGTGGTAAATTTAGGTCGATAAGAAGTCTTATCGACAGGCTCTCACGTCGATTAGCTTCAAGGCGTTTGTCCTTGTCATTCATGAGTTACTGGATCTAAAAATGCATGCGCTGGGTATTCCAATTCTGGCAAGAGAATGGATTAGACAACTCAATTGTCGCATATTCGTTGTGGGCGTTGGAAATTATACAATCCCACCTGACGGGATATATTTTGGGTACTGGGTCCATTGGGAGAACGTAGTCAACAAGGAAACTTCAACTGCCCCCCCCCTCCTCACCCCCAACTAACCTACCGATCCAGCATCTTCAGGCTATCGAAGACCATTTTATGACAGCCCCGGTCAGTTTTTTACTGGCTCGTACCCAGCTGTGACGGACCCATCTTCAACACATCCGTTTTTCGTTTAAAAATGGGGCAAGTAGCGAAACTTCGACGGACTACAGACATCTATTTGTTACAATATCTGCGCATCAACCAGACTACTAGACATTTGCTCCACCTACTCGATTTTCAAAAGACAATAAGACTACTCCCACATGCACGTTTATCGGACGCTCTTCTTAGCCTTCTAGGAAGGGAGCTCTGTAATGACAGTGTCAACCTTTTCCGCTCATGTACCTTTTCCATCTTCCGGACCTTGTTGTTTTACCGGACCAAGATTACCTTGTTGGTCACGGTACGTTGACTTTCACTTTCTGCACGCTTACTTAACTGTACACTTTTCTCTCTATTCTCCAGTTCATTACAATAACCGTCGTTGAGGTTTCGTGATATCAGTCTTTCTGCTTTGGTTCGTTACCTCGTCCATTGTTAGACGTACGAATCATCATTGGCCCAGCGACTAAATTGGTGGGCCCGATGTGGCATTTTTTCATTTTTTAGTTATCACGCATTTTAGTTTCGTTATTACTGTTACATTATTCCACGTGCTTAGCCCTTTCTATTATCGCTGGTGTAACCTATGATTTCTTTTTACAACTTTTATTGAGTTGAGACATAGACCTAGTGCAATTATCTACACATCACTTGCGTACATAATGCAAAACTTAGTAAGCGACGATCAAGCCAGCGCAGAAGTCAACATAAAGCAGCAGGATAGCCACCACGTTGATAGTCTAGTGGCTAGAATCCCGGACTTCATCCCTGAAGACCCGGAGTTTTGGTTAGCTCAGGTGGAAGCACAATTCCGGCTGGCCAGAGTGACCAATCGAGTCAACAAATTCACACAAATCGTGGGACATATCCCACGCTCCATGAGTCCTGACTTAAGGGACGTAGTTTGCCATGCCCCGCCCGATAGACCTTATGAAACATTAAAAGATGCGATAATCAACCGTTTCAGCATAACAAACCGTCTTAAACAGCTATTGAAAGGAATCCGTCTAGGGGATAACGGGCTACATACTCCCACGCAGCTGCTCAGCTATATGAGGAGTCTGACTTCCAGCTTACACGTAAGCGAAAACGTGCTACGCATTTATTGGGTGCAAGCACTGCCAGAATACGTCGCGACCACTGGAGACAAGGAGCGGATAGTGGAGAGTAGTCATGGCGGTCTTTCACTAGGAATGACCCAGAAATCTAGAGATTTAGGAATCATAGT